ACAAGCGATTTTTTCGGCAATTTGCAGCGCAATTTCCACTGCGACATTCTTGCGGCGATTCACGTCGAATTTAGTGCGGTTTTCGGGCGATTTTTTCTGCAAGGATTGCAGTGGAAATCGTGCTGCAAATTGTCGAAAAAATCGCATGTGTAAACGGGCCTTTATGCTGAAAGTAAGACGTGGAATGTCCTTTTTTGACGTACTGAAGAGAACGGCTACGCCAAAAGCTTATCCTTGCTGAATTGTCTCACTACGCATGACATTGATGTTCAAACGTCTATCAAGGTATAAAAGTGCATGATCTGGTACTCTACTCGGTTTGCTAGCCAATATTATTCGTGATTGGTGTCAATTGGCTGTCATTATATCGTCAAACATCCAATGAAATACGGCACTGATATCACGTGATGTTAACAACGTCGGACCGCGAGGTCAGCGGGATTTGCTTGTGCCTACATTCCTTAGTGGAGGCCGATGAAAGAAAAGACGCTTTTCTTCAGTAGAGAGTTTTTAAGCCTAGTTTTGTAATAATTGTATTCTCGACTTTCACATCCCCATAATGCCTTGCGTTTTTGGGGGTAACCAATCAAAAAACTGTCCCAAATTAAATGGTTTCTTAATTGAATTTATACTATACCTGCTTTTATCTGTACAATACTGATTATCAGTATATTCCAAGTTATTTTTGCGTGTACAGATCATCAAGAGTTTTGGTCTTACAGAAAATGTATTGACTTACGAAAAAATGTTTAAAATTTACTTTAAACGTCTTCAAGCTTCTATCTTTTTCTGTTTTTTACTTCTTCATTTTATCTTTGGATACCAAACAAGGTATTGTGACATTGTCTGATCAGCCTTCAACAAAATAAGTGGGTTTTTACCCTCTGGCTACCCCCCAAAGACGCAAAGGATTATGGGGATGTGAAAGTCGAGAATGAAGGATATATTCAATCAACACAAACAGGAGAAAGAAACAGCTATTCTATTCTAGAGAGAATAAACCATTTTAGTGCTCAAAGAAATGAGCTTCAGTATACAAAACGTAAACGTTGTATTTAAACAGCATCGATTGCAATTTTCAATTTTCTTAGCTATGGAGGCGCCAGAGTCGGGGTCAGGGGGAGTCTGATTTGAATGACATCCCCAATGACAAACAGTATAACGTGTTCAAGGCATCCGTATTACAGCGAATGATTGGATTTTTGTCCATGATCTTAAAGGTATATAATGATCAGCTTTACTTTTGTTTTACTATATATTCTTACAAACTAGAAACTTTTAAAAGTGATTACTCTAAGCATCGCCACCTTTTACCGTAGTTCATGCTGATGTAGGTCACCCCACCCTGAATTTTTTATCTCGCAAATTTGTGTTGGCATCTCGAAATTTTTGCCTTGAAAACTATAAATTTCGTGTTGTGACAACTGAAAATTTTGAGTTGGGTTATGAAAAAAATTCAGAAACTTTCTGAAATAAAACCAACAAAGAAAAAAAGTAGCAAAATTTACATGTCCGTAAATATGTACGGTGGCCCATAAGGGACATACCTGTCACGCACTACACACTTAGCCGCGTGACACTAAAGAAAAGCCGATCCGATCGTGGATGGATTCCATCACAGGATCATAAAACAAAGCTATATTCTTAAGCCCTCCATGAAATCAAAAGTGTTCATCTAGATATCATTGTAAGCGCTTAAAACTGAAAGTGTTAGTGAAACGTTTTTTAAAAGAAAAATTCTCTCGTAAAAGTGTACTCTGACCACACAAAGCTTTATGCACCTATCAGCGGCTTCCCCGTGGGGTCGATCCCCGGGCTGACCAGTGAGATGGGTGGGAGAATATAGGAGGATCGGATCCAGGTATTCCCCCTGGGGTTGGGAAAATTTGAGACATTGGTTTCGTGGTTAAAAACTGAGGTGGGGGATTGTAATGAAATTATTTTCATTGCGGAGATTATCAGGGGGATTGATTTTACTCCCTAGTAAAAGAAATAGCTCCTGATTTTAAACATTTTGAGACCACGGACGTTTTTGGTTGGGCTGGGTTACCTGTGTTATTCACCAATACCCAGATGCCTCTCTGCTTGTCAAGATGGATGACGAGGTGAGAGAGTTCCACTGTGAAGTTTGTTTTTTGACATTCTTTGTTGTTTCATAGTTACGAATTCGAAGGCAACTTTATTTAATTCTTACTTTTAAATGTGAATTTTTCAATTGATGAGATTTTTTTCCAATCTTTTCAATGAAAAACTACCTGAAATATCGAGCAAACCGCACAGGTTACGCGTTGAGTTCAATTTTCAAAATACAATACAGTAATTTCAATTTCAATTTCAATCTCGTACCCAGAGCCTTCGTTTCTTCTGGCCTGCGGCGAAGAACTAGGGCTCTGGCATAATCCATATTTTGGCGCATGCGCAATTTTCGGAAAGTGAGAGATAAACGATCAAAATAAGCGAAGTAAAAGTTAAATCGAACTCAAAATCAAATTAAAAATTATAGCACGAATTAAGAATTGGGGGAAAAAATATTTTTAATTTTTGGCAAGTATTTGAACGCATGCGCTGTTATACCGGAAGTCCAAGAAACCTGGTCTCAAAATATGGATCATGCCAGAGCATATGTGTCAATTGGTCAAGGTTGTGTCAATTTCAACCAAAATGAGGGAGATTGTAGATTTGAATGCCTCGACCAGGGGACATTGAAAAGAACAACTTCCCTACCCCTGGGAAAAATGATCAGCATTGTTTATGAATTTTTACAATCTAACTGGTCAGCTCGGGAATCGACCCCACGTGGAAGCCGCTTCAGTATAGGTGCATTACTTCGACGACTAGACTCGCACAAAGTTCAGCACGGATCGCATTCATGGACCTCAAAATACCTTGATAACCAAAATACAAGGTAAGTTTTTAAATACTAAACCTTATCCATACAAAATAAAGTAATTTGTTTGATACACTTGCGGTTGAGTACGTAAATCAAAGTGATATTTCCCGGAGTAGTCAATCGATAAAAATCGATATCGAGAAAAATCGATAGAAATCAGCTGATTTGTATCGATTTTTATGGGAAATCGTTTAAAATCGATAAAAAAGATTGGTGTGAGTTCGATTTTTATCGATTTAATCGATTGATCAAGATTTGACAGCTTTAATTCGATCCAATGAGTAAAATCATATAATCAGCTTTATTTCACGGAAAGTATTCGAAAATATTGATGATAGTGCAATAGATTTTATAACTATTAATTCACAAGTAATAATATGAACAAACTCCTAGTTTGTGTCAAGCTATGGTTACGAAAGAGTAATTTCCGGTGGTGTAAATCCGTAGCCACACGGCCCTCGTACGATCATCGATAGAAATTGCTCAAGACATAAATCGAAAAAAATCGATACGTATATAATCAATCAATCGATAAAAATCGATACAAAAATTTAGTGTGAGTTCGATTTTTAACGATTGATCGATACAATCGATATCAATCAAATCAGCGGTATCGATTGTTATCGATTTATCGATTGGCAAAATCGATATCGATTTTTATCGATTGACTACTCCGGGGATATTTCCTCCTAAAGTCCAACCTCAAATTACCAAGACCTCTCGTTCTGTCATTTGATATTCTTGAACTTGTTTGTCTATCAAAACATAAATTCAACTCCCTATTAAACCTCAAAAAT